TCTCATAAAGTATTTTTCTGAGGTCTGTCTTATCAGGTAAATTACTGTACACAGTGTATTCATTAATTTTCATTTTCATGTAGTAAAGGCTCTATGCCTTCATAAAAGACGTACTTTTCCTTTGTTTAAGGGTAATTGGGCAGTTTATTCTCTGTTGTATTCTCAAGCAAACAATACATACAAGTACACTACAGTATTTTCTGAGGAAACACTCGTACTTATTTTTTTAAACCCCATTCCCAATAACCCGGCATTTTCACAAACTTGGCCATCCTTCGGTCCACATTAGACCGTGTTTTCGGGACTCTACTGTATCAAAAACATCAATACTTTGTTAAATAATATATTAAAATCTTAAAAATATACCGAAACAACAAATTTAGTACCACAATTAATATATAAAAAACTAGCAGATGAGCTCAGGCAGAGAATAACAGCAAAGATTAAAATTATTAGATTATTTCATACTTTCTATAAAATTATATTTTTAAAACACATTAGTTTATAAAATATAAAAAATGTTTAAAGTGGATATGCACTAAAAAGGGATAAGCAACCCACAGCCTGCATTAATATTTTGTGCAATGCAGGCTGCACAAAATATTAATAAATATATGAAATTTTCAATCTTGAGGAAGTATGTAGCAAAGCTTCTATCTTTATTTTCTACAACTTGTGTATATAAACAGTATAATAAGCCAACAACAAAAGGATATCGGGGTATTATATCACAATATAATCCCTTAGTCATTGGCTTATTATGTATATAAATAAGGTTTGTAGATGTTTGTTTATATTTGTAAACAGTTTTTTCTGCAATGAATTTAGTAAAAAGTAAAACAAGAAATCAGCTAACAGACTAACAAAATCAAACCTAATTTAAAACTAGCAGTGACTAATATGTTAATTTATAATCATATAGCCTATGAATAAATAATTCTGATTTATCATCTTTTTTTTCTTTTATTTTTCTCTTTTATGTGACCTACATCTGTTTAATAGTTTTAAAAGTGGCCCTGACATAGAAAAAGATTGTCCATCCCTGCTGTAAATGACATTTAATCCATATTTCCATCATAATCATCTAACCAACAGCAAAATTAATTAGGCAGTCAACATGCTAGAAACATTAATTAGAAACTATCTGATTAGAACTATAGGTAGACATTAAACACTATCTGTTAATGAAAATAGTAACTATAATTTGATTTTAACTTCTTTAGAATAATCTGAAAGAAAAGAAATGGCCAGAGTGGGAGTAAACCTGCAAATTCCTGTCTGCCTAAATAATTTGGCTCTTGGTTGGATGATTATTAAAACATTGAATTTCTTGGGATGTTTATATATAAATATTTCCATCAATAAATACTACATATCAAATACAAATATGCATCCCAAACTAAAACTAGTCTCTACTATATTTAACTATAGGTCTCAACATTACAGTACCAGTAATCTTTCAATAAAATTAACATATTAATTGATTCATATACTTAAAATATAATATCTAGTGGGATAATTATTAGATTTAATAATGGTCTGAAATCTTTGAAGATTATATATTTTACAAATTTCCATTAAAATGTTTTCTTCCATTTTTTAAATCCTTTAAAGATCTTCACCAGAAATATATTTCATAAGTCGTCCTACTACATTTCAAATGAGCTCATAAATGCTTCTATTGGATTAAATCTGATGATTCAGGTGGTGCAATATAATCAGACATTATAGAACAAACACCTAATTTCCCAAACAGTATGATTTAAATTATTGTCATGCCAGAAAAACTTTCTACCAAGAGCCATTTGTTAGCACTTTCAAACAAATAATTTCTATCAATGTCTAATATAACATTTAATAAATATTTCCATCAATAAATACTAAATATTCAATGCCAGATACAAGTATGCATCCCAAAACCAAAACTGGTCTCTACCATATTTAACTTAGGTCCTACATATTTTATTTTTATCTCAATTCTAAGTTTCCTCCACACCACATTTCATTTCTCAGAGCCAAATATCTTCAATCCATTTTCATTGCTAAAAATCAATCAACTTCAGAAATATTCTACCATTATTTTATATTCATTTGCAAAATTTATCTCTTTTTCTTTATTAGACAGACGGATTAATTTCTAATATCTCTTCCAATATACTCTTCCCATCTTATAACTCTTCTAATTCTCTTTGGTATGAAATCTTTTCCCAATTTATTTTAATCAACAATACACATTTATGTAGTAAATAAATTAGAATTAAACTTAATAGCTTTAAGGATGGTTTGTTTTACTAAATCAAAGTTTAGGTGATCTTCCATTATACTGTAAATTATGTAATGATTTGAATATTTTATGTTTTTTATGATAGAAAGAAAAGTGCTATATCATCTTTCAATTGGTTCAGAATTTTTAGAAATATATTTGATCATTTTTAAATGAAATTTCTGTATTCAATTATTTCTTCTACTCCTTATTTCTGCTCATTTCTAAAATTTTGATAAACTGATTTGAAGCCTATCATACACTATTGTTCCTTACTAATGCAATTTCAATAGTTACAGTAATTGATCATATCATAATTTTTATTTTCTTAAAGAAATGTGAATGAACATGTGATTACTTTTGTGAGGAACATTGAAGTTTAATTAAACTCTATTTTCATTATAATTAAATGACTATTTCCAACTACACTCAAGTCCACTTAACAAAACATTGAATAAGGGAGCAGTGCTTAAGAGAGTACTCTCCTAGTACCTGATTTTCTCCCATATTTTATATTAGTGGAACTCCTGTTAACAGTGCATTATATAATTGAGTAGTCCATTTAGAAGAGCATTATGCTGTGATATTTGTAGAGCAGCAGTCAGCATATGGGAGCAAACAAACATTTATAAAAATCTATCTTTAATCTTATGGTATATAATCACCCAAAGAACACGACAGCAAGGCCATACACTATAATATATGTTGTGGAGATTTGATGAAACTTTCATTAGTCAATGTTTAACATTTATGTAGTCGAAAGGTTTCTCACAGAATCATAACTGATTTCATTGAATACACAACAAGCAATTACATATTAAAAAGGTATTAAAATATAAGAACAAATAGCGCAAATCATATATATGCCTTCTCATCTCAAGTGGACAAGGCAAGAAGTGATCAGCAACCATATTTTGGAGATCACGCAAACTTTAAGGCAGTACCGTACTTATTTCTTTTTATACTGTCCAATTAGAAAGCATTCAGAAATTTTCCATCTTTCCAACTAGGCCTCCTTTTGTATTTCTGGGAAGTGAAAGTAATACGAGTATACTGTATATATAAGTTATAGAATGGTAAAATTGATGATATATACTGATGGATCCAAGGAAGTTACAGGGGCTTAAGTTCTCCCCATTGACACAAAAAATTAAAAGTTTTTCTTTGAACTTCAAAAATTACTTTTTGAAAACATTTATGATAGTAAATATTGTTTATTTATTGGCATCTGCAATACTGTCTTCATGTACATGTTAATAAAAGAATGTTATTAATTATTCATATATTTTTAAGTTTTGAGTTAGCTCCTCCTCCTCTCTGCTATTGATGATATAAGAATGGAAAGAAATATGCAGGTATAGTGAAATTATGTAATACTGAATTTTAGCAATACCAAGTGTTTTATAAGTTTAAGCAAGACAAATCACTTTATTCATTACTTTTAAGCCTATACACTCTCAGCAATGTGGCACCTGTCTTCCAGGAATGGCCAGATTAGTGAGAGTCTACTATACCATAAATATTACCTGTGATCTTGTTACTTTAGATAAAGGAGCATTATGCAGCAATCCCACAGATGCTCTTAAGCTGACTCAATTGTATGATCTAAATATAAAAATTAATAGAAATCTTATCAGAATCTCTGAATTTCGACAAAAGATGGTTAAACCTGTATTAATATTCTATCATCATTAATATGTGTTTACTGAATGAACTTTTACCTGTGTATACAGTAAAATGGAGTAAATATATTTTCAGTTGTGACTGTACATTATATCTAGTTCATTTTTATCATACTATTACTTCATAAATAACGCATTAAATCATATTAAAACTAAGTTTCTAATCTGTAGATATATTTTCTTTACAATTCTTAAACACTATAAAAATTACAAAGAAAATACTGTAATATTTTACATTGATTTTACTTTAAAGGTTGGTGAAGTAATTATTCTATCAATAACAACCGATAAAAGAAAAAAACTTAGAATACTAAAGCAAATAACGTGTTATTATAAACCAGTGTTCCCAACCTTTTTGAATTAGCGATATACTTTAAATTTTAATTAATATTATTGCTGCGACACAATAATTTTTACGATCGACGAAAAAAATTAATAATACGAAACTTATAAAAGTAACCAAAAAAAGTGCAATTTTACAAATTTACTATAAGAATAAAAAATGCTATGTAGATTAATGCGTAAAAAGCTAGTATCGGTTTATGAGGCGGTAAGCCGGAACGTTTATAGAAGATGCAAAGAGTTGATACGCAGGCATCGCATAGAAGCTCGCAATTTTTGTAAGGAAATTATGCAGATTGTGCAAAGTTTGCAACAATAGCATTTTTATGAATCTTACCAATACTTCCTCCTCTCTCGGTCGGCTGGTGGTAAAAAGTTGAAAGATAAATGAAATTTTTTAAAAGCTTATTCAAAATTCTATAAAGTATTTGGTGGAATTTACAATCTTACAACATACAGTCTACGTCATACTTACTTCCGGTCTTTGTACGAAATGTTGTTCGTGAAAGTTACGAGTTGTTTGAGATTGAGCTTCGGCTCTACGGTTATATTGGTAACTGCGTATCTTCCTGAAGGGCGTGCCCACTAGTATTGATAGCGTTTCATATTAGACATGAAATCCAATGTTGCCAAGTGCCAATCAGCAGCTCCTCTGGAGTGAAAACAATTCCCTCTAGAAATCCCCTAGTTATTTCTTTCTCTTACATTTTTATCCAGAATTTAAATAAAAATTTATGAATAGCTAGATTCATTTTGAGCTTAATTGTACCATTCGATCATATTTTATACACCGAGTTTGTCATCGCAACATGCCCACGTTCTTACATTATAACAAAAAGAAAAAAGTATTCATACAATAGAAGTAAATGTTCAATTCGGCGGATGTGAAAAGAGACTCAATATAAAACAGCAAAAAAATATAAATAAAAAAATAAATATATATAAAATAAACAGGCGATTTTAATAGTGGTATTACAGAAATATTGACACATTTAATAGAGACAAGTATAACAAGTTTATTAAGAGAATGGTAATAAAAATACACACTGAAATGGCTCACAACTCGGGTGAAGCCTCGTGGATAAAAAATACAATGGCTTGGATGTGCCAGTCATAACTTCGAGTCTAAAATATTAAGCACCACCAACTGTAAATAAAAAAAAAGCTAACTCAAGCTGGTTCACCCCTTACCTACAAAGTAAGCTGGAACAGCAACGTATGAGGGGAGTTGTCTCATACAATACTAATATCTTTTATATTACACTTCTGTAAAGCGTTTTAAGGGTTGTAATAGTTCGTAGTCATTTTGATTTTTTATGTGGTGATACATGTTTTGGTTAAGTTAAAGAAATTTGTATCACTTCTTGAATACCCTCAAATGGTTCACAAGACAAATGAGACTTTTTCAAAAAATATCTTACAAATATGCCTTAGACTGTGCTGAGTGCTAAAAACTTATTACCAATTCTGTACTTTGTTATTGAAATTTGAAGACACTACAACTATTGAAATGGAATGGCAAACTATTTCTAATAAGAAATCAGAAAATACAAACACAGTTTTTCGACTAAAGTGAGCAATCGCGGGGATTGTTCAGGAAATGACAAATTTGAAAAATAGACTAGTTTATTCGAACTTGTGTAATTAGAATTTCTTTTAATTCGAACTGGACATCAGTCTCATCTGATTCCTATTTAAATCAACGTAAAATTAGTAATTACAGCTCGATTGTGTAATTTCCTGTTTATTCGAATCAAGAGCGCATGTCTTTGAATTTAATTCCCATTTTAGGGTTTCTATCTTTCTAAGGAAAAGGGAAAGCCTTTCAGCCTTGCCGAGTTGATCTCTCACGTCAGGGCACCAATTTAGCTTTTTTATAATATTTGAATGAGTTTACGTATTCTAGTTTTTTCCTATTTAACATTAAAGAAGGTCTTTTTACTTTTAATTTTCTCGTTACAAAAAGTAATTTAAATTTGTCAGCGTTAAACCATAGTTTACTGTTTTTTGTCCAAGTCTCTAAATTTGCCAAAATTGTTTGCGCTTTCTTTTTAAGATTGTATTCTTTTCTATCTGTCACCGTCACCAAGAGGTCATCTGCAAAAGCCACTAGCTCTCTGTGTTGGGGGAGATTGATCCTAAAAGCCGTATTTAGTAGGATATACCAAAGAGGGGGAGAGGCCGCGCTGCCCTGGGGCACTCCTAGATTAATCGATTTTGTTACCGTTTCCGAGTTGTAGGTTAGCTGGACCTTCCTTCCTTTGAAATAGCTGACTAAAAGATCGTAAAGATTCTTTGGGACTTCTGCTTTTCGAAGTTCATTGAGAATTAATTCAGGCCATGCCGAGTCGAATGCAGCCGAAATATCTAAAGAAATGACTATGCATATTTTTTTATTGTTTAATGCTTTCTGCATGTGGTCTCTGACTATAATTAAAGGTTCCGTAGTACTCTTTTGGGGAGTAAATCCAAACTGTTTATTACAAAGATATTTCTTTTTTGTTAGATGATGAGTTATCCTATTTATCATTAGTTTCTCTAGAATTTTGCCGAGTACTGGTAATAGACTAATTGGACGAAATGATTTAGGGGAATCCAGTGGCGTAGCGTGGGTGTCAGCCGCCCGGGGCGAAGGAAAATTTCGCCCCTCCTTATTTAAGTATCTCAATTTAAAAGACTAAAATTCAGTTTCGTCACCGGATAAGTAATGAAAAATTCCGTGCTAGTGTTGCTACCTTTTTAAAATCGCTGACCCGGACGGAAGGCATGGGCGTAGCGAGGGGGGAGCCTGGGTGGGCACGGCCCTCCCCAGTGAACCTGGTGCTCCCCAGAAAATCACAGCCGAAAAAGTGTTAAGCCGATTTGGAAACAACAAAAATCTTAAAGCTAAAAATTTTGAATACTAATAAAAAAAAAGGTCCACTGTGCCCAATGTTATGAATAATTTGAAATAATTCAATTTTGTGTTAGGTTGGCCTCTACTAGGCCCCCCCCACAACAAAACTCTGGCTACGCCCATGACGGCAGGTGAGGTTTGTTCGAACAGAAGTTCCTGAAGCATGCGTATATCATTTTACAATGCGAAGAATAATTTGCAGTGCATGCCGGTTCTAAATCAGTTACAGTTAGCGAGTAGGGAGACTTAGATAGGAGTAACGCAAGTGACCTAGCTCTATTGAATATTGGAGGTGTATATGGTTACGAACGAATCGTACAAGCAAAAGAGAGAGAGAAAAAAAAGGTCGACAGGTTGCACACGATATCCCCGACGGCGAGTCGGATGGTAGCACTATTCCGTGCTCATTTCAATCGGTCCGAATCGTAGGTGGACGAAAATATGAAATAAAATGGTTCAAATTCTTACAAGATATTATTATTTATTTTGAAATTTTACCGCCCCTTAAAACGTAATTTTTCCGCCCTTAAAAAGTGCCGCTCCCTACGCTACGCTACTGGGGGAATCCAATTGCCTGCCTAGCTTCGGGAGAATCTTAACAATAGCGTGTTTCCATGCCGCCGGGAAAAACCCGGAAGACAGGCAAGAGTTATAGATTATATTAGAAGAAGGATATCGGAGTCTAGATTAAAAGCGTGTTTTATAATTTCTGCATTTAACCCGTCATGGCCAGAGGATTTCGTATTTTGTTGGGTCGAAACAGCTTGTCTAATTTCCGAGATACTAAAAGGCAAATCGTTTTCCTTGAAATAATGAGCTTCAATATTCGCTTTTATCTGCTGATGGTAAAGGAAGTCAGAAGACGGGTCGTCAGAAAGAAAAAATGTGTTTATAAACAAGGTGGCTATTTCTTTATCACCGTATAAAGTTTCGTCTGCAGAATTTTTGATTGATAATTTTGTTGTGTAGTTCGAAAATTCTTTTCTTAGTAGTTTATATACCCGATTCCAAGGAGCTGAATTGCCTTTGATCCAGCAGAATTTCTTACGTGACTCAGTTTTGGAATCTTTCATTAATTTTTGATATCCTCTTCTAACTGCTAGATATTGCTCGCGAGAATCCGTACGATCTGGACCATTGAATCTTTTTTTTACTCTTTCCGCCCTGTGGGCACTAAGAGGGTCTCTTTTAGCAGGTCCATTATGGGTTCGCCCCACAATGGGACGACTTGCTGGTAAGGGACGGGGCCCGACATATCCGAACGGACCACCCCCGAAAATTTCCTGGGGATTCCTTGACCCGTCCGGATTCGATCCCTGGTCCCCCAGAGCGGTAGGCTGCCACCTTGACTGCTCGGCCATCCGGCCTGGACCATTGGATCCATTGGACCGTTGAAATTTACGTCTTAGTCGCTTAACATTTCATCTAGAGCAGTGGTTCCCAATTAGTGGTACGTGTACCCCTGGGGGTACGCGAAATTGAGTGAAGGGGTACGCGCGGCAATCTAAAATCGGTCGATTTAAAATTTAAACGAATGAGATGAAGCAATCAAAAAAATAAAGGGGGACCATAAAAAGTTCGGCAATTTACAACATGATGTCGAATGCACAAATTCGTTTATTAATAACTAAAAATATTCTCGAAATTTCATCAAAAATGCATTTATAACAATACCTAAATGAAATTCTTATGCAAGAAACAAAAAGTGTACAGTTAACACAATTTGTGTTAATTGTACAATTATCATTATCATCGTGTCAGCGAAGCGGCAATAAAATATTTACTATCATTTTGCACAACATACCTCCGCGAGAGCGGATTTTCGGCCATGACAAACACGAAAACTAAACGTCATCACCGACTTCAACTCGAAGATGACTCGAGACTGAAGCTGACCAAAAAGCAACCAGATTTTACAAAGTTTTGAAAAGAAAATCGTGCACATTTGTCGCATTAAAATTAAATAACCTTATGTTATTTTCATTATTATTAGAATTGTATTTTAAAGGTAATAAATGTAAAAAAAAACTTATTCTATTTATCACTTGCTGTCTACCCACAGTTTCGCCCGCATTATATCGAATTTTCTCGTGGGAGTAAGATATTTTCTCGCAGTAAAATGTAGCCTATGTCCATCTCCAACATGTAAGCTATCTCTGTGCCAAATTTTATTAAAACCTGTTCAGCGGTTTAGGCGTAAAAAGGTGACAGACAGACAGCATTATCTTCGAATTTATTAGTATGGATTAATATGAATTTCTGCTATAAGGGGTACGCGAGTTTGAGCTCTTTTTTGAAGTGGTACGCAGGAAAAACTAATTGGGAACCACTGATCTAGAGCCATGGTTCCCAATTAATGGTACGCGTACCCCTGGGGGTACGCGAAATTGCATGAAGGGGTACACACGGCAATCTAAAATCGGCCGATTTAAAATTTAAATGCATCAGATAAAGCAATCAAAAAAACAATGGGTGGCCCATCAAAAATTCGGCAATTTGCAACATGATGTCGAATGCACACATTCGTTTATTTCTAACTAAAAATATTCTCGAAATTTCATCAAAAAATGCATTTGTGACAATACCTAAATGAAATTCTTACTCAAGAAACAAAAATTGTACAATTAACACAATTTGTGTTAATTGTACAATTATCATTATTATCATGTCAGCGAAGCGGCAAAAAATATTTACTACCATTTTGCCAACATACCTCTGCGAGAACGGATTTTCGGCCATGATAAATATGAAAACTAAACATCGTAACCGACTTCAACTCGAAGATGACTCGAGACTGAAGCTGACCAAAAAACAACCAAATTTTACAAAGTTGTGCAAAGAAAATTGTGCATATTTGTCACATTAAAATTAAATAACATTATGTTATTTTCATTATTATTAGAATTGTATTTTAAAGGTAATAAATGTAAAAAAAACTTATTCTATTTATCACTAGCTGTCTACCCACAGCTTTGCCCGCATTATATCAAATTTTCTCGTGGGAGTAAGATATTTTCTCGCAGTAAAATGTAGCCTATGTCCATCTCCAACATGTAAGCTATCTCTGTGCCAAATTTTATTAAAACCTGTTCAGCGGTTTAGACGTGAAAAGGTGACAGACAGACAGAATTACCTTCGAATTTATAATATTAGTATGGATTAATATGAATTTCTGCTATAAGGGGTACGCGAGTTTGAGCTCTTTTTTGAAGTGGTACGCAGGAAAAACTAATTGGGAACCACTGTTCTAGACGGAGAAGATAACTTGTAAGTCGTTAGACGATGTTAAGGAAAAGCTTGATACAGCGGATTCCGCTAAATTGGAAACCCTTATGGCGGATATTCAATTTCCCGCTACATAAAATGACCACTCAACGTTTTCCTATTGTACTATAGGTATTATGCGTAAAACGGGACAAAAAGAGTAAATAATAATAATATTACACAAAAAATAAACTTTTAATTACACACAAATGAATTAATAATTGAAAATTCAGCTGTATCAAGAATTTTTAGAAAAACCAGAAGAATGCAAAAAATAAAATGGAATTATTAATATTAGAACGGTTAGACAGACTTGTAATATCACTGACAATTGGTTTTGTTAATTTCAAATTTGATTATTTGAGTTAGATCGCTAATGGATAACGATCATATTTTTTTTCCTATTCTAAAAGTTTGTTTTTACAGGCTGGCAACATTTATTACTAATATTGATTATTTTGCTACCCATGTTGTGTTTTAATTATAATAATAATCGATTTCACTTTGAAAATGGAAATTAAGGAAAATATCCAATGGTTATGTAAATTATTAAATCTGATTGGATTTTCTCCAGTGGTACCCGAAACATTCCGAAAAGCAAAATTTAATCAAGATGACGTTGTGAGTAGATAATTTCTGATAGGTTAATGTAAAATAAGTGGCAATTTCAAGTTTCTCTTTGATGATGATAATTGAAAATTTCGATTTTGTATTAATTCTGAGCAATAATTTTCTTTCTGAAGTTCTATAAGATAGCAAATTGTAGAATGTCATATAAATAATTGTTATTGGTACATTTTGATGCAACTTCTTTCAAAAATACTTGGATCTTAATTATTTATTGATTTATTTATCATAATTTTTACATTTCAAAAAAATTCCTTATAATAATGATCCATCTTAAAGCATCAAAAGAAATATTGTGCATATCTTCATGGATGATTAATATTAAATCATGTTCAGTTCTAAAGAAAAAATAGTAATTGGAGTAGCTAACCATTGGCTTTTAAATGTGTACTGTTAAATTATTTTCATCTAATTGATGCTGTTATCTTTGCTCTGGTGAAATTAATTAATTTTCATTATATACAGAGCACTGAAAATAAAACTTAAATCTACTAGAAATCTATATATTAGTCCAATTTATATTAATTTTCACAGGTGATATTTTAAAAAACCTAATGTTAATTCTTATGAGAATATCAATAAGTACTTCTAAATAAATCTTTTAAATTAAATTTTGGCATGAAATATGTTTCAATTTCCTATTTTAAATCAAATACTGAGTTATAAGTTTGATTGTTTTCTTGTTTTTTTATACATTAATATTGTTGAATATGTCGAAATTACATAAACTGTCCTAGATTAATTTGTACGTTATTCTAGATTTGAAATGTTTCCATCAAAGTATTTCATCTTATATTTTATTCTGTAGTGCTTTTAGGTAGAAAAACAGCTGTCCTTTAACAGTAATTGTTTGATTTTAAAAAGAAATATTTTTATTAAATTTTATAAAAAATTTAGTTCAGTAACATTTGTATTATTTTAATGATGCTTATCTACTAAATAACGTTTAAATTTCTTAAATTAATACTTTGTTTTGTTAAATATTTGAAATATGTAGTTCTAAAATTGATTTTTTTTTTTTAAATTTGAAAGGCTACAGTATATCAGTAGAGATTTTGATTATTTTTATAAAAAATGTAAAGATAAAAAAACATTTATACATTATTGTTTTCAGATATTTCAACTATGGAAGCTATTATATGAATTCACATTTTGGTTACAAGAACAGAAACTTTCTTGTTGTAAAGAATTAGGGAATGGTAAGTTACAATGGTGAATTGGTACACAGCTGTTAAATATTTTTATATATAATATGTTAATATATTCTATCTTTTTTACTCTTTTGTTGTATAACTTGTTTTTATTATTTTTATTATCTAAATCAAATATTTCTTTATGCATAAAGTAAAATAAAACATTTAATATGTACTGTACAATATCTATTTCTAAAAACCATAAATTCAGTAAGGCATGTCTTGTTCATGAAGTTTATTCACTAATATGATACATTTGTTTCATGTGTTCAGAAATTTATTTATTTATATGAAGAATAGTGTTCAAATCATTTTACTCTAGGTTCACATCTTCCTTAGACTTTTTGAATAAAATAACCTCTTGCACAACTCCTGGGAAGATAAAATAATTCAAGATAAATTGAATAAGTTTTCAATTTAAAAATGTTCTAATAAGCAGCAATAGAAAAACATTTCAAGTTTAAATAAACATACCACCATTTTTGAATAAATTAATGGAAACAGCATTAGAAAATTTAAACAAAGAATTTTTCATTTTTAAAATTGCTGTAGACTTTAGATTGATTTTGGCTCAGAAAGTTGAATGTAATTGTTATTAATAATATGATATTTATAGATTATAACAATAATCATCAATAAAAGTAGAAGCAGTTTATAGATATATTATATTATACATCAAATTAATATGATTAATGATTAAAAATCAGTTTTATCTTAATGCCAAATGCTAAATTTATCACTATACTTGGAAATTGTTTAAATTGTTTTTCATAAATGTTTGTATCTCAATAAATATTTATGCGATTCAGTAGCAGTTAACAGTAAAACTAATCAAAATATTTCATTCTGTGTTTGAATGAAAATCTAACAAGCTTTTTTACCAAAGTTATTACATATTATAGATTCACAAATCTATAATATTTAATACCTGTACGTTGGCCATTTTGCATTGATAAATTTAATTATTTCTAAAGTCCACATTTTATTGATATTCACTTCAGTGAGATTTTTACCCCATCCAGAGATATTAAACAAAATAGATGTCAACATACACACATACAGAATTTCCCCACTTTTGTGCATTTGTGAAGTCTCAAACAAAGATTTGCAAAAATCCCAGAGGGTTAATTTGACATAATTTTATAATACTTTCCCATGTTACATTATAACAACCAGGAAAGTGAAAGTGAAAATAAAACTTGTAAATTACTTCATAACAATTTTATTAATTGTCATGACTTACATTTCCAGAAATTGTGACTTCTTCTGACATGGCCTTAAAGCCCATGCTTCTGGCTTTTGCTTGTATCTTATATGAGGCAGTTTTGGCCGTATCTTTCATCTTTGCAATAAAACCTAATTTTTTAAAATGTATATATATGATAAAATTTTTATTTTACTTGAAATTTTTTATTTGCTAAATAAATAATTTATTCATAGTTTTTGTTTGAATTTTATCATCAATATCATCATCATCATCATCATCATCATCATCAACCATTATCAATCCACTGCAGGATGAAGGTCTCCCCAAGCCTCTTCCACAGTATTTTGTTTTGGGCATTTCGCTTCCATGTTGTGCCAAGATGCCTCTTGATCTCATCAACCCACCGAATGTGAGGACGTTTTCTTGGTCGTTTTCGATCTCTTGATATCCAATCAAGAACTTCAGATGTCCAGCGATGGTCAGTTCTTCTTGCAATATGTCCAGCCCACTGCCACTTGAGGGATTTTACTTTAGCGATGATATCGGTAACATCATCAATATACCAGTTAATATGTACAAATTTTTTCTGGGCATCTGGTGAAATTGCCAAGTTTTGGTATTTCTGATATTCTGACTGATTGATCAAGCTTCTAAGACAAGCTATGTTATTTAGTGCATAATATAAGCCAAAATTCCCCTTCAGTATTCTATAGGAGTTTGTTGAAATTGAGACAAATCAGTAAGGTTTGATATCCAAGACTTTGGTCCTTATTGAATTGCCCATGTTGCTATTCATTTGCCATCTCGTGGTAACAGAATCATATAAATTACTGAAAATTATGAGTTTTATAGATAATGATGATGCTAATTTAAATAGCAGAATTTTCATAAAGGTATTATATGTACAAATCTGTGTAAACAGATATAGTCACTATTGATATGTATTAATTTCATACCAATAGTGACTATTTCTGTTTCTAGTTAAATTTTAATTAAATTATTGATTATTTGATGGTTATTTTCAAGTTAGTGACATTTGCATAGTGGCATCTTGGAAAAAGGTTTATATTGTTTGTTAACACCTGAACTTGATGCTATTAACAAGTGTAAATAATAATAACTTATTTGATCCTAGTGTTATGTTATAGAGATAAAAACTTTTTTAGATGAATGGTTTTAACTTTATGAAAGTGTCTTAGTTTTTTGTGTAAAGTTTCAAGATTCTTTTAACAGTTTCTCCAAAGAAAAAATATCTTAAAATGTTTTCAAGAGAAGTTTTTGCTTGATGTTTATATTATCGTTTTATTAAATTCTGATCTCTGAGTACTAGAATAGCAATTATGAAATTTATTAAAGTATAAAAAATTATTAGAAAAAGCTTGAATTTTTTATAAAATAAGAGTTAATTAATTAAGAGATTAATAAATATAAATTTTATAAATTATATAAATTAAAACTTTTGTTATTTTTCAATATTTTTAGAAACACTATCTGACTTAAAACGAAAAATGCTATTACTGGGATATAATTCTTCAGCATTTTTAGAATTGAATTTAATGACAAAATTTTGCAGTCGAGAATTGCTACTAGCAATTGGATGGATAATAGCAAGATGTAATTTAATTGATATGTTGTCTGCATCATTTATCAAATTTTCTTTAATTAATTGTGAAGATACAAGTTGCATTAACAAGGTAAATTATTGAGAATTAATATGTTAATTATATAAAAATTTATTTTTATTAAAATTATTAGCTATGTTTTGCAAATTACAATACTATAGTTTTTTTCAAAAGCATATACTGTAGTTTCCATAATTTTCCATGATTAGTTTTTTTCCAAACTGATTTTAGTTACTTTTCACTCTTGATTTCAATTTAAATGGCTATGGACTACATTTAATATAGAATATAAACAATGTATTTACTAGGACGACTTATTATTCTCCAAATTTGTTTTTATAGAATAACAGTTGATTATTTTTGTTTATCACAATTTCAAGATTAAATTATTCAGTGCTGACTCCAATATTAATTTTAGTATTAATTGAGGAGCTTATTTCTAAATGGATATAAGCACATAAATTTGTGATATTTGAACTAGTGCTGTAATATTACTCATTGCAAGCTCTACTGTTTATATTATAAATTTGTGTCAAATAGGCCCATATACAATAGGAAAAATAGTCTCTAATTCATGTTTGTTTACAAATGGATTTATATTCTTTCTACTGTAATTCCTTATTTCCATATGCACTTATATCCATATGGAAATAAGCTCTCAGTTAATAATGGAGTCAACACTGAGTAACTTAAACTTATTAATTAATAATGTTTTAATAGAGGATTTTTTCATATCCCTGTAAGTGATACAGTAAACATAAAATATGCATAACTAAGAAATGTACTCGCACATAATTTATTGTTATGGAATTATAATTAGTATTTTATTAGAATATTTCCTTTCAGATTTCAGATCTTTGCATTGTTGAATCCAAAGCAGGTTTCAGCATCTAATTCGGTTTATAAAATAAACTGAAAATGTATGTTTGTTTTAATGATTAAACCCATTTGCTGGAAAATTGAATAATTTTTAATTTTAGAAGTTGTGTTCCAGCTATGTTATTGGATTTTATTTTGAAACAATTTGTAGTTTTTGCAAAGTTGTCATTGCTTATATTCAATTGATGTCAATCTCTAGAATAAAATGATTCATCTGTATGCTTAAAGAAATTGAAACAGCTTTTTTTCAGCAGGCTTTTAAAAAATTTTTGTTAATTACATCATCTAAACTTGTTGATACATATCTATTGTTTTAATATTTTCTCATAGTTTAATCAAGTTTATTGTTTTTATTTCAAATTATTTAACACTTATGTTAATTGCAAATTGTTATTTCTAATAAAATTTTATTTATTTTTTTACACCTGTTTTGTAGTAAAACTAGTAGTAATTACAAATTTATGTGAGGTTAGCCAACTGGGTGAAAATGTGAGGACAATCAAGCGGTCAACATTGTTGTGTGGGAGTGGAAAGACTCACTGGGACAAGCTTTTCATCTTTTAACCCATTTATTATATACACAAAAGTTTCTTACAATGTTTTGCAAAGTTGCAACATAACAGAGCTTGGGGAATGAAATGTCCACTCAAGAGTCCAAAGCTCTGTTGGAAGTTCTCCTTTTGGTCCCTCGATGTCGTATGTTGCGATCAATGGCCCCAGGGCATGTGGACAGCTTTTGGTGAAAGTCTCCAGAGAAGGGCTCATCTGGGTAAAACAAAACGTCATGGGAGAGAGACAGTAAGTCCCAAGAGTCAACAAATGTATGCTGCTGAGCTGCAGGATTGCAAAAATCCTGAAGTGGAGCACCAAGAATGTCACATCCTTGATTTGCGCAGTTTTATAAGTTTTTCCCCTAAAGCAGCCTTTTCATTGGCTTCTACTTGTCACCTGGTGACAATTTGAAACTGATCAGAGGACGCAGGAGAGGCCAGTTTTACGACTAAATATGACTCCTTTCCAGCAAGTTTCCCTTGACTGTAGTCTTTTCCAGTGTTCTAATAAAAACTTAAATTGTTCAATCAGGACATTTAATTTTCCCTATTCATGTCTGAAAATGGAGTTCTTTATTTCTTGATAGAATGGTCACTTTAAGACCTTCAAAGTGGCTTCTGTCTGGTACCTCACATTTATATATATATATTTTTTAAATTTTATCACACATTATAGATTCACAAATCTATAATATTTAATACCTGTACGTTGGCCATTTTGCATTGATAAATTTAATTATTTCTAAAGTCCACATTTTATTGATATTCACTTCAGTGAGATTTTTACCCCATCCAGAGATATTAAACAAAATAGATGTCAACATACACACATACAGAATTTCCCCACTTTTGTGCATTTGTGAAGTCTCAAACAAAGATTTGCAAAAATCCCAGAGGGTTAATTTGACATAATTTTATAATACTTTCCCATGTTACATTATAACAACCAGGAAAGTGAAAGTGAAAATAAAACTTGTAAATTACTTCATAACAATTTTATTAATTGTCATGACTTACATTTCCAGAAATTGTGACTTCTTCTGACATGGCCTTAAAGCCCATGCTTCTGGCTTTTGCTTGTATCTTATATGAGGCAGTTTTGGCCGTATCTTTCATCTTTGCAATAAAACCTAATTTTTTAAAATGTATATATATGATAAAATTTTTATTTTACTTGAAATTTTTTATTTGCTAAATAAATAATTTATTCATAGTTTTTGTTTGAATTTTATCATCAATATCATCATCATCATCATCATCATCATCATCAACCATTATCAATCCACTGCAGGATGAAGGTCTCCCCAAGCCTCTTCCACAGTATTTTGTTTTGGGCATTTCGCTTCCATGTTGTGCCAAGATGCCTCTTGATCTCATCAACCCACCGAATGTGAGGACGTTTTCTTGGTCGTTTTCGATCTCTTGATATCCAATCAAGAACTTCAGATGTCCAGCGATGGTCAGTTCTTCTTGCAATATGTCCAGCCCACTGCCACTTGAGGGATTTTACTTTAGCGATGATATCGGTAACATCATCAATATACCAGTTAATATGTACAAATTTTTTCTGGGCATCTGGTGAAATTGCCAAGTTTTGGTATTTCTGATATTCTGACTGATTGATCAAGCTTCTAAGACAAGCTATGTTATTTAGTGCATAATATAAGCCAAAATTCCCCTTCAGTATTCTATAGGAGTTTGTTGAAATTGAGACAAATCAGTAAGGTTTGATATCCAAGACTTTGGTCCTTATTGAATTGCCCATGTTGCTATTCATTTGCCATCTCGTGGTAACAGAATCATATAAATTACTGAAAATTATGAGTTTTATAGATAATGATGATGCTAATTTAAATAGCAGAATTTTCATAAAGGTATTATATGTACAAATCTGTGTAAACAGATATAGTCACTATTGATATGTATTAATTTCATACCAATAGTGACTATTTCTGTTTCTAGTTAAATTTTAATTAAATTATTGATTATTTGATGGTTATTTTCAAGTTAGTGACATTTGCATAGTGGCATCTTGGAAAAAGGTTTATATTGTTTGTTAACACCTGAACTTGATGCTATTAACAAGTGTAAATAATAATAACTTATTTGATCCTAGTGTTATGTTATAGAGATAAAAACTTTTTTAGATGAATGGTTTTAACTTTATGAAAGTGTCTTAGTTTTTTGTGTAAAGTTTCAAGATTCTTTTAACAGTTTCTCCAAAGAAAAAATATCTTAAAATGTTTTCAAGAGAAGTTTTTGCTTGATGTTTATATTATCGTTTTATTAAATTCTGATCTCTGAGTACTAGAATAGCAATTATGAAATTTATTAAAGTATAAAAAATTATTAGAAAAAGCTTGAATTTTTTATAAAATAAGAGTTAATTAATTAAGAGATTAATAAATATAAATTTTATAAATTATATAAATTAAAACTTTTGTTATTTTTCAATATTTTTAGAAACACTATCTGACTTAAAACGAAAAATGCTATTACTGGGATATAATTCTTCAGCATTTTTAGAATTGAATTTAATGACAAAATTTTGCAGTCGAGAATTGCTACTAGCAATTGGATGGATAATAGCAAGATGTAATTTAATTGATATGTTGTCTGCATCATTTATCAAATTTTCTTTAATTAATTGTGAAGATACAAGTTGCATTAACAAGGTNTTTTTTTATTTTGTACAAACAAAATAAATATATTGAAATATATAAAAACAATAAAAAATTATACCTCAGAAGTTAATTTAGTATCAAAAACTTAAAATATTTGAGTAGCCCAAGACATAGCCAAAGATTGCAGTGCCACAGCACTGGCGAAAATTTAAATTTGCCAGCTGGAATTCTTTCGGATAATTGATGTTTCAGATAATTGACTTTCGGATAAACGATGCTCTACTGTATAAATAAATATTTTATATCTTCATTTTAATTTATACAGTAATTACTGATGAACTTATTTAATGGTTTATAAATTTTCTTTATAGATACATAAAGTAACTCTCGATAAAAGTCTGGCTTCTAGTTATTCCCATTTAAGTATGTTAGAGAGTATAGTGATTACAAATATAAATCTTCATGAAAAGGTATGATATTTATATTAAAAATTCCATAACAGTAAATAAATTTACAGGAGGCACTAATTTAATATGATTAAATTTCATTATATAGAGAAAATGAAACAGTATCCAATTTAATTTTCAGATAGGCATGTATGAAATAGTATATGCTATCTATTTGATCAAAAAAAAACTAGCATGATAGTTCTTTGTTTTCTGTTTACTTACTCAGTTAAGAAATTATGAACTGAATTTTTTAAGTTGTCATCTTGTATTAAATTTAATAATTAGAATTAAATTTGAATACAGCGGGTGATTAGTTAACGAACAGAATCTGTTCCATGACTTCATTTGTTAACTGATCATCGATTTATTGTAGGTTTTTATGGGAATTTGATTAATTCTTTCTGGAAACTCCAAAATATAAAAAATATACAATATTACCTCGACTTACACTATCCCGACTTACGCGAACCCGGAGTTACACAACTTTTCAAATCTTGTCGATTCATCTTTTGTTTGGGTGCCTTGCAACTCTTGGTTACTCACTCCCCCTACACTATTGTTCAGCTTTTGTGTTCAGATGTGTTGTGTGGAATCGACACATAGCTACAATTTATTTTGTGTTATTTATTTCTGTGTTTGTTATATCTACTGAGACTTGAGAGGCTCTATATGGTGATTTCTTGTAACTGTGAATGAATCAAAAGATGAGATAAGATTAACGAGAACATTTATTAGCTTACATCCGACTTGGATTTTACACAAATTGCAAAATTATACCCCAACTTACGCGAATTCGACTTACGTGGTTATCACTCGGTCCCACCTATCGCATAAGTTCAGGGTATTATTGTATACTTTCTTACTATGTTTATTTATATGTAATAATAAAAATACATACATACACAGTCTTGCATTTTTATTAGTCATGTTTATTTCCATTGTGGGGGTTAAAGAATCTGTCTAATGTCGATTGCTTTTCTCTCTTCTTCAGGATTTTTCAGAAGTAATTAATAGCATTGTAATTGTAGAGATCCTCAAGCCTATTATTATCCTCAACCTTGTTTGGATGCCATTCTAAGACAATTGTTCTGGCATCCTCCCACTTCTTCAAAAGATCTTCAATAGCAGATATCAGCATTAATCCTTTTTTCAGAAGAAAACATATCTCGCCAAGTTTCTTGGTGTTCTGCATTCAAGAGTTCTTGCTGTTCTGTCGTCAGATCAGTTTCAGGTTCCATTATGAGCTCTTCAATGTTCTTTATTTCTCAGATGTGATTTTTGTTACTCCTTTCGCTGCTTGAGTCTTCTTGATTATACTGTATCTTTCTTAGATAAGATTGAACTGCAGTCTACTGTAGACCTGTTCAAGCCATACTGCCCATCAACATCAGACATCTTCTGCCCACCTTTGCTATTATACTCTCATCTTTCGGAAATAAAAACTGACGCAAAACTTAACCTGACAGTCTCACAAATACTATGAAAATTGTTTCTGTCAGAAAAATAAAAGGCTGGAATTACAAGGGAGAGTTTCAAAGTTCAGAGGAATACTATTCGATCAGTATACACAGGGTTGAGCATTGATGTTGACATCTGTACTCCGAAAAGTTTCGAATTGTTGCCTGAAGACAAGGGAAGATCAATCGGTATTCATTATTTTACATCGCTTCTTGTGTTTGTTCTGTGAGGTGTTCATTTTCCGAACATAAAAATCTTTTGTGAAAGTGTTTGTTATTTGATTTGTTAGTTAACCGAACTGTTCGTTAACCGATCACCCACTGTATAGTAGACTTCCATATAATGTGGGGATACATTCCACATTGTAGGAAATTGCATTATACATTACATTTATTGAACATACATTATTGGACCAATTTATGCAAGTTCAAACATATCTCTAAATTTTAACTGTTATCACATGTTGTTAGTGAGATGTGAATTTAGAAGATATAAATAAAGGGTTAATTCACTACTGACAGAGAATAGAGTTTTTGAAAGCAAAGTAATAAAAGGATTAGCACTTTGTTGTCATTCACAGTGGGAGACCAGCAGAGTGTATTACTTTTGTGGGAGAAAATAAAGGAAGCTTTACTACTTTGAAGTTGAAAAATAATATGATTCTGTGAAATTTAACAAATCTGATGTCAATAAGTGAAAGTTGAAATTATTTATAGTGAATTGGTATTTGATAAGTTTAGTTTTTTGCTTTTACAGATCTAATTACAAAAAATATAAATAAAAATCTTATTATTTTTAAACCCATAAGTATTTTATACTGNTTTTATTATCTAAATCAAATATTTCTTTATGCATAAAGTAAAATAAAACATTTAATATGTACTGTACAATATCTATTTCTAAAAACCATAAATTCAGTAAGGCATGTCTTGTTCATGAAGTTTATTCACTAATATGATACATTTGTTTCATGTGTTCAGAAATTTATTTATTTATATGAAGAATAGTGTTCAAATCATTTTACTCTAGGTTCACATCTTCCTTAGACTTTTTGAATAAAATAACCTCTTGCACAACTCCTGGGAAGATAAAATAATTCAAGATAAATTGAATAAGTTTTCAATTTAAAAATGTTCTAAAAAGCAGCAATAGAAAAACATTTCAAGTTTAAATAAACATACCACCATTTTTGAATAAATTAATGGAAACAGCATTAGAAAATTTAAACAAAGAATTTTTCATTTTTAAAATTGCTGTAGACTTTAGATTGATTTTGGCTCAGAAAGTTGAATGTAATTGTTATTAATAATATGATATTTATAGATTATAACAATAATCATCAATAAAAGTAGAAGCAGTTTATAGATATATTATATTATACATCAAATTAATATGATTAATGATTAAAAATCAGTTTTATCTTAATGCCAAATGCTAAATTTATCACTATACTTGGAAATTGTTTAAATTGTTTTTCATAAATGTTTGTATCTCAATAAATATTTATGCGATTCAGTAGCAGTTAACAGTAAAACTAATCAAAATATTTCATTCTGTGTTTGAATGAAAATCTAACAAGCTTTTTTACCAAAGTTATTACATATTATAGATTCACAAATCTATAATATTTAATACCTGTACGTTGGCCATTTTGCATTGATAAATTTAATTATTTCTAAAGTCCACATTTTATTGATATTCACTTCAGTGAGATTTTTACCCCATCCAGAGATATTAAACAAAATAGATGTCAACATACACACATACAGAATTTCCCCACTTTTGTGCATTTGTGAAGTCTCAAACAAAGATTTGCAAAAATCCCAGAGGGTTAATTTGACATAATTTTATAATACTTTCCCATGTTACATTATAACAACCAGGAAAGTGAAAGTGAAAATAAAACTTGTAAATTACTTTCTAACAATTTTATTAATTGTCATGACTTACATTTCCAGAAATTGTGACTTCTTCTGACATGGCCTTAAAGCCCATGCTTCTGGCTTTTGCTTGTATCTTATATGAGGCAGTTTTGGCCGTATCTTTCATCTTTGCAATAAAACCTAATTTTTTAAAATGTATATATATGATAAAATTTTTATTTTACTTGAAATTTTTTATTTGCTAAATAAATAATTTATTCATAGTTTTTGTTTGAATTTTATCATCAATATCATCATCATCATCATCATCATCATCATCAACCATTATCAATCCACTGCAGGATGAAGGTCTCCCCAAGCCTCTTCCACAGTATTTTGTTTTGGGCATTTCGCTTCCATGTTGTGCCAAGATGCCTCTTGATCTCATCAACCCACCGAATGTGAGGACGTTTTCTTGGTCGTTTTCGATCTCTTGATATCCAATCAAGAACTTCAGATGTCCAGCGATGGTCAGTTCTTCTTGCAATATGTCCAGCCCACTGCCACTTGAGGGATTTTACTTTAGCGATGATATCGGTAACATCATCAATATACCAGTTAATATGTACAAATTTTTTCTGGGCATCTGGTGAACTTGCCAAGTTTTGGTATTTCTGATATTCCGACTGATTGATCAAGCTTCTAAGACAAGCTATGTTATTTAGTGCATAATATAAGCCAAAATTCCCCTTCAGTATTCTATAGGAGTTTGTTGAAATTGAGACAAATCAGTAAGGTTTGATATCCAAGACTTTGGTCCTTATTGAATTGCCCATGTTGCTATTCATTTGCCATCTCGTGGTAACAGAATCATATAAATTACTGAAAATTATGAGTTTTATAGATAATGATGATGCTAATTTAAATAGCAGAATTTTCATAAAGGTATTATATGTACAAATCTGTGTAAACAGATATAGTCACTATTGATATGTATTAATTTCATACCAATAGTGACTATTTCTGTTTCTAGTTAAATTTTAATTAAATTATTGATTATTTGATGGTTATTTTCAAGTTAGTGACATTTGCATAGTGGCATCTTGGAAAAAGGTTTATATTGTTTGTTAACACCTGAACTTGATGCTATTAACAAGTGTAAATAATAATAACTTATTTGATCCTAGTGTTATGTTATAGAGATAAAAACTTTTTTAGATGAATGGTTTTAACTTTATGAAAGTGTCTTAGTTTTTTGTGTAAAGTTTCAAGATTCTTTTAACAGTTTCTCCAAAGAAAAAATATCTTAAAATGTTTTCAAGAGAAGTTTTTGCTTGATGTTTATATTATCGTTTTATTAAATTCTGATCTCTGAGTACTAGAATAGCAATTATGAAATTTATTAAAGTATAAAAAATTATTAGAAAAAGCTTGAATTTTTTATAAAATAAGAGTTAATTAATTAAGAGATTAATAAATATAAATTTTATAAATTATATAAATTAAAACTTTTGTTATTTTTCAATATTTTTAGAAACACTATCTGACTTAAAACGAAAAATGCTATTACTGGGATATAATTCTTCAGCATTTTTAGAATTGAATTTAATGACAAAATTTTGCAGTCGAGAATTGCTACTAGCAATTGGATGGATAATAGCAAGATGTAATTTAATTGATATGTTGTCTGCATCATTTATCAAATTTTCTTTAATTAATTGTGAAGATACAAGTTGCATTAACAAGGTAAATTATTGAGAATTAATATGTTAATTATATAAAAATTTATTTTTATTAAAATTATTAGCTATGTTTTGCAAATTACAATACTATAGTTTTTTTCAAAAGCATATACTGTAGTTTCCATAATTTTCCATGATTAGTTTTTTTCCAAACTGATTTTAGTTACTTTTCACTCTTGATTTCAATTTAAATGGCTATGGACTACATTTAATATAGAATATAAACAATGTATTTACTAGGACGACTTATTATTCTCCAAATTTGTTTTTATAGAATAACAGTTGATTATTTTTGTTTATCACAATTTCAAGATTAAATTATTCAGTGCTGACTCCAATATTAATTTTAGTATTAATTGAGGAGCTTATTTCTAAATGGATATAAGCACATAAATTTGTGATATTTGAACTAGTGCTGTAATATTACTCATTGCAAGCTCTACTGTTTATATTATAAATTTGTGTCAAATAGGCCCATATACAATAGGAAAAATAGTCTCTAATTCATGTTTGTTTACAAATGGATTTATATTCTTTCTACTGTAATTCCTTATTTCCATATGCACTTATATCCATATGGAAATAAGCTCTCAGTTAATAATGGAGTCAACACTGAGTAACTTAAACTTATTAATTAATAATGTTTTAATAGAGGATTTTTTCATATCCCTGTAAGTGATACAGTAAACATAAAATATGCATAACTAAGAAATGTACTCGCACATAATTTATTGTTATGGAATTATAATTAGTATTTTATTAGAATATTTCCTTTCAGATTTCAGATCTTTGCATTGTTGAATCCAAAGCAGGTTTCAGCATCTAATTCGGTTTATAAAATAAACTGAAAATGTATGTTTGTTTTAATGATTAAACCCATTTGCTGGAAAATTGAATAATTTTTAATTTTAGAAGTTGTGTTCCAGCTATGTTATTGGATTTTATTTTGAAACAATTTGTAGTTTTTGCAAAGTTGTCATTGCTTATATTCAATTGATGTCAATCTCTAGAATAAAATGATTCATCTGTATGCTTAAAGAAATTGAAACAGCTTTTTTTCAGCAGGCTTTTAAAAAATTTTTGTTAATTACATCATCTAAACTTGTTGATACATATCTATTGTTTTAATATTTTCTCATAGTTTAATCAAGTTTATTGTTTTTATTTCAAATTATTTAACACTTATGTTAATTGCAAATTGTTATTTCTAATAAAATTTTATTTATTTTTTTACACCTGTTTTGTAGTAAAACTAGTAGTAATTACAAATTTATGTGAGGTTAGCCAACTGGGTGGAAATGTGAGGACAATCAAGCGGTCAACATTGTTGTGTGGGAGTGGAAAGACTCACTGGGACAAGCTTTTCATCTTTTAACCCATTTATTATATACACAAAAGTTTCTTACAATGTTTTGCAAAGTTGCAACATAACAGAGCTTGGGGAATGAAATGTCCACTCAAGAGTCCAAAGCTCTGTTGGAAGTTCTCCTTTTGGTCCCTCGATGTCGTATGTTGCGATCAATGGCCCCAGGGCATGTGGACAGCTTTTGGTGAAAGTCTCCAGAGAAGGGCTCATCTGGGTAAAACAAAACGTCATGGGAGAGAGACAGTAAGTCCCAAGAGTCAACAAATGTATGCTGCTGAGCTGCAGGATTGCAAAAATCCTGAAGTGGAGCACCAAGAATGTCACATCCTTGATTTGCGCAGTTTTATAAGTTTTTCCCCTAAAGCAGCCTTTTCATTGGCTTCTACTTGTCACCTGGTGACAATTTGAAACTGATCAGAGGACGCAGGAGAGGCCAGTTTTACGACTAAATATGACTCCTTTCCAGCAAGTTTCCCTTGACTGTAGTCTTTTCCAGTGTTCTAATAAAAACTTAAATTGTTCAATCAGGACATTTAATTTTCCCTATTCATGTCTGAAAATGGAGTTCTTTATTTCTTGATAGAATGGTCACTTTAAGACCTTCAAAGTGGCTTCTGTCTGGTACCTCACATTTATATATATATATTTTTTAAATTTTATCACACATCTGTTTGATTTATTACAAATTAAAGTTATTGTTGTTTATTTTTATATTATTTTTGAATAATATATTTTAATGATCACAATTCTGCTGATTATGCCTTTTTATAAAAATTTTCCCGTATCTTTAAATTAACAAAAACTAATATATGATAATTTATTAATTTTGTAATTATGATTAAAATTTTCTTTGTAGGAACAAAATGTAAAAAAATTTAATGATGTCACTCAAACATTGGAACATGTTGATCAAATTATTTGGAAATTAAGGCATTTGAAATTTTCCATACATTCTCTTTCTGCAATTCAACAGCAAAGAATTAAATATTTGCATGAGGTAAATATATATGTCTATAAATCTTTAATATGTATTAATAGAGTTGTATTTATCTAGATCTTAAGTATGTTTTTACTTTTTTTTGGATATTACCAAATTTAATTTGTTAATGAAAAATCAATTATTATATTTCTTTGATTTTTATCTATTTTTGTTCATCTAAAATAGAGATATGTCTTATAATTTATGATGCCTTTACATTTTCAACCTAAAACAACAATCATGACATATACTTGTCCTTAGGAGGTTTAGATCCATAATGTCAGTTGTAGACTCAAGGAGCAATAAAAATGTTAGAATGAGCCAAATGGAGGAGCCAGATTTCAGACTATTAATAGAACTTGTGGGAGGCAGCACACAGAAAACCTACTGGTAGGATGTAACACCTTTCAGTTCAGTAATTAAAAGATATTGTGTACTCTGGGACTTCTTACTCCTAAGAGATGTATCCTACCAATGGGAGACCAACATTGGTGGAAGTATTAAGTGGCAGATGTTACTACCATTTTCTTGTGTATTTAGTCTATAACTTTATAACAGTCCTACAAGTAGACATTTTGGTGTAATCAAGACCTTGAATAAAGTTTAAGAATGATGTTTTGGGATAAAGACAGAATTCATGTACAGAGATGGTATAGATCTCGTAACAAATGTGAAGTTCATAAAGAACCAAAGATTCAAATGCAAGGAAAGTTATAGAGCAGGGGTCTCAAACTCAAATCAGCAAAGGACCAGTCAAATATGTGTATCAGATATGGGCCATATTAACATTACCATATATTCAACATTACCATGTTGGTAAACCAAACCATACTGTATTAAAAAAAAAAAGACTCTAACAAAGACTCTTTTGTTGACAAGCCTTTACAACTTATGTAAACAGTTAGACCAGTGATTCTCAATCTTTTTTTTGTCACAGTACACTTTTAATAATTTAAAAATTTGGGAGCACACATGGTTATTTTGGTAAGTACTGCAGGACAACTGGTGACGTCATAATAGTAATTTTTAAATGCAGTTGGTTATTTAGGTCACGCTTTCTAAACTTCTTGGTAACTACCAGCAGTTACTGGTAACACCAGTTACAATTTCTAAACATGCCCTAGAAAGGTAGAACTGATTGTACTACTTGTCTAACATCTCTTATGTATGGATATTCACAGTAGCGGCACACTAAAGTGCCGTGTGATTTTTGAAGTGGTTGAGAATCGTTGAGTTAGACATTTGAAACTTTTATTTTAATGCCCACAAGTTGTTAGAAACATTGATTTTTAGAAAAGAAATCATCAAGGCAATGGGCAAAATATAAAGCCTTAACAGGCTGTATCCACCTTGCAGGCCACCACTTTGTGACCATTATAGAGATATAATGCTGGAGCTTGAATGAATAGCAGAGGACAATTTGGGTTCTTTACCCCCATATAAAGGAAAATAACAGATAATGAAATAATCCATGATCACTATGTAAGTGGCTGGAGGCATATCCAGTCTTTGATGAAGAAGCAGCATGCAAGCATGCATGCTTCTTCATCATACAGTAGAAAGCTAGCATGCAAGATGCTAGCTTTCTACTGTAGTTGATCCTGTTTTGAATCTGATTCAGATTCTCATACTGTATTTTCTTGATCAAACCCAGGGAATTTGTTTGAAGTCCCAGGATTTACCTTGCAACAACGGTAAAAATTGAAAGAAATACCTTAATTCTTAATTTTCAGAACTATCAAAACCTTCTATTTCCTGTATTTATGGGTTATGCTATATGAAATAAGTACTATTTTCATAGTTAATCTGTTCAGCAACTTCCGATTTGGTTGTTGTGCCAGTTTTGATGATGATGGAATTAGGATCTTGATTACCATCTTCTGGTTCAAGCTTACCATCTCTAATTTGAGTTTTCTTATTTGCCCTTCAATTGATAAGCTCTTGATTTATAAACTCAATAATGACTTTCTCAAGCTCAATATTCAACAATATTTATAATTTTATTTCCAAAAATGTTCTCATGAACCTTGGAATAGGAAGTGCTGTTTGACTTTAGATAACATGAAGAGAGAGAATTTTAGGTGAATTTCTTACCTGTCACTCTAAACTACATTATCCTATACTTTGCAATACAATACTTCACGTTTTTCATGCTTTCAGCCTCGGGTTTATTTTTAATAACATTTACTCCCCAAGGTTTATTCAAAGATTAAAGTTTATTTGAATCCTAGGGTTTTAATTAAGGAAATACAGTAATTTAGCACAGGTAGTACAAATGTGATAGCATTCTTATCCTTCTTCCATGATTTAATCTAATAAATTCAGTAATAGATATAATTTCAAAAAGTAATATGAATTACAGTAGAGTGTCGATTATCTGAATCAATTGGGGACTGGGATTGTTTGGAAAATCGATATTTCAGATAACTGATTATGTATGAAAAAATATATTAACCTATCCCATGTTGAAATTTTTCTCCATTACGTGTCGCTTCGCGTTGAATTTTCGTCGCTGTTAAGCCTAACGTAAACTTTTTAAAATAATAATCGTGACTATTATATCGTTAAACATTATTTCTTTATTTTGTACAAACAAAATAAATATATTGAAATATATAAAAACAATAAAAAATTATACCTCAGAAGTTAATTTAGTATCAAAAACTTAAAATATTTGAGTAGCCCAAGACATAGCCAAAGATTGCAGTGCCACAGCACTGGCAAAAATTTAAATTTGCCGACTGGAATTCTTTTGGATGATTGACTTTCGGATAATCGACGCTCTACTGTATAATCTGTATGCAGTATGGATTCTATTAGTTTCAAGTTTTCAGCTATATAATAAAAGATTGATCTTTGGGAAATGGATAAATGATAATATGGGGTATGTATACAAGCATTACTATGGGTTCTTTGACTAGGATCTATAACAAGTTTATGATTTATTTATTTGACTTACCTGAGTTTGTCTACTGTATGGCCCCATGTCTGCCCTTCTTATTTGCCTGAATTCCTTTCTGAAGTTTTGATTTCCACCTCTTAGAGGATAAAATGATCTATCTGTACATCTTGAATCAATTGTAGATGCATATCTTTTATATGGGAAATTCTGCATTTGTTTCCTTCAATCTCTGTACTCAAATGGGTATCTATTTTGGAAATTTCTATACCTAGATTTTCTCGACCCATTTCCTTAAGTCTTTAATTCTTTTAATTGTTCTTATATTTGATTTAAGATAGCCTTTAATTATTTATTGGTTTTTGCTGGGATTTTTAAAGTCATCTACTGTTCTTATAATTGCTTTTTGTTTGCTTGATCTAATGTCTCTTCTTTTATAGTGATCTGTATTACCTGACTGAAAGTTTCAGGGTCTCAGGACATCTGTCTTTTAATTTTATTACTTAATCTGCTTAGGGACTGCATACTTAATCTGCTTAGGGACTGCATACTTAATCATTTATCTAATTCATTTTTTTTTTTGACAATATTTTACAATTGCAGTTTTGTTTATATTTCCACTTGTATGTTTGATAATTGTGTGAGATAAGCAGGAGGCCACAGGGTGACTCCCTAATGACTACTTGCACTGCACAGGTTGTTGAAACCTGACCTCTGTGTCTTCTCCTTGGGCTGAATCGTGTCTGTTGAATGGAGATCTGGGAGACGAAATGGGCACTATCACGAAATATAACTTCCAGTTTGATCGCCCCGAGCTTCTGATGGCTGTCATTTTTATATCATTGTTGTGGAAAAGTGGTATTGTGATCGTCCATGTTGATGATGACAGTGTATTTTCTGACACCTGTGATTGATATCCCATCTGATTGTTATTATAAATGGTAATCTCCGATCTGATTCTGGCAAAGAGTGAACAGATCCAATAGAAAAAACTTTCTATCGGATCTGTTTACAATTAAATTTCCGACAACCGTGTTAAATTCATGGATTTCACAATTGTTTTTAATGTTAATTAAATAAATAAATTATTAAATTAATTTTAGAACCTTCTGGAATAAAAGAACTGGCCCGGGACGGGGCTTGAACCCGCAACCTCCGCTTGCCGTGCCGTGCGCT